GGCACAGACCAAGTCCAAGCAAACCGTGTAGTGTAGCTGAAAAAGAATAAGTGTACTGTATGTGTATGCAAATGTATAGACATTTGTTTAAATCAGCTTGCTTGGAGGTCGATCCGTCCATTTCGGCACATGTCGACTCCTCTGTCAGAAATCCTCGTTTCAGTGCAATTTGGGCTACTTTCTGTGAAACCCAGATTCATGAGTATAGAGTAGTATAGGGATACGAGTTGAGAAAGATCCTTTATTCCTTCAAAGAAATCCGGACAGTTTCGTCCACTTCTTCGGATTTCGTCCACCATTTGGAGGCCGAGGCCATCGGTTGGAGGCCATCCAGCCGGCCTCTTCGCCACCGAGGCCTCTTCGCACTGAACCAGCATGCCGTGGCCGATGAGGTCGGTGAGAAGCCGAAGCAAGGGCCGTTCAACGCGGCCTTGGCGCAAGCTGCTGGTGGCGCAGTGATGGCGCCTGGGATAGACGAAGCTGACTAGAGAAGAGAGGGTGCAACAGAGTGGCCGGTGGGCTGGGTCTAGTGACATGCGTTTTGGGTGTTGCAAGATGGACAGGTCACGTTGCGTGGTTTGGTAATTGTTTTGTAATTTCTGTTTGCTGAGGAATTTCTGTTTGTTGAGGGGTCTGCCAAATGCGGGCTTTTGCTTCGGATTGGGAGGTCTGACAAATGTAAAGCTGTGGAGCCTTTCATGGTGCCATATGCTTGAAGGTTTTTGCTCTATGGAAGTATGATTGCATCAGATGTAGATAATGGTCCTGGTAGTCCCAGACTTGCATGTCTGACTGGACATTTTATTCAGATGCGATCCGTGTTTCCTAGGTCTTGGACCAAGAGATCCATCCATTCACGCGGATTTGGTGCCTGTTCGAAGTCTCTCGACTCAAAGATTTGCAGAGGCCCTTCGAGTTGATTTGTGACTCGTCCGGCACGACCGGCCAAGATCAATGCGGTCTTTGGAGCGGTCAATGAGGTTGGCAAAGTTTTTGATTTTGAAGATTCTAAGGTGTTGTTTCCTTTGATAGTTGTTTTAACCAGGGAAACCTTGGGTGTGGTATGTTATGGTAGAATGTGACTTATATGACCTTTGCTTTAGCCGGGATGGCTTGAGGCGATTTGGGCTCATTATCAAATCCAGTGGGCTTAGTTCGGGGCTCAGAAGCAGAACAAGCTGAGATGCGAAGGGCGACCTGCGCAGCCCTGTGGAACATGTCACCAAGCATCTTGTCGATTCAGTTTACTATTGAATTGCTTTTGACGGTTAATCTGAAAGGGTTTTGCACCAGGGGTGGTTCAATCCCAGTATAGATTGGTTTGCGTGTGTTTCTGTGCTTGTGCTAAAAGTTTAACCATCCCACGCATGCAGGAGAGGTGAGAACCCAAGAATAAAAGCAAGTCTATTTTGAGTTTAATACGATTTTGTAGATACCAACCATGCGGGTTACCCCCAGATTGATTTCCATTTGAGTGGTGGGTCACTTGCAGCATCCATCGTCCATGGTCGTTCTTCACGCGATGCGTTGGGTCGTGTGTCATGGGACGCAACGCTCTGTCGACAGACTATAAGGCAAGGCCCAAAGCTCCGTGGAGGCAGACAAGCACCGAATTTGGGCCGAGATTGCCGACAGCGGTTTCAAGAAGTCAATCTACAGTCAAACGGAAGAATTCTTCTTCAACGTTCTTGCAGTTACATATGATGATCTCTCAGCAGTGTTTGGCGACTTCACCCGACACATGCACTCCCTGCTTTCCACGAGTCTTCTGCAGAACTTGCTGCAGTGTTCTGAGTATGAAGCGGCCGCCGAGTGCTGCCTCCGTGGAGCCCACATTACAGAGGAACAGCTTGATGAGATTTGTGAAAGCTTTGAGTCGGAAAATCAGAGAGCCACGTGGCTGAATGAGTTTCTCCATGTCACAACATTGTGCGGAACAGATGCATCATTTCTGCTGCTGCTGCTTGAGCATGGTGCTGATCCACGGGCCGCAGACGGTGGTGGCGGGACAGCGCTGATGTTTGCTGCTGCGGGTGGACACGAGCCAGTGCTGAAGCTGCTGCTTGAGCATGGTGCTGATCCAGCAGCCGCCAGGAATAATGGCAGGACAGCACTGATGTGTGCTGCTGCAGATGGACACGAGCCAGTGCTGAAGCTGCTTCTTGAGCATGGTGCTGATCCAGGGGTCGCAGACAATATTGGCTGGACAGCTCTGATATATGCTGCTGCACGTGGACACGAGCCAGTCCTGAAGCTGCTTCTTGGGCATGGAGCTGATCCAGGAGCCGCAGAGAATGTTGGCAGGACAGCTCTGATGATTGCTGCTCAAAATGGACACAAGCCAGTGCTGAAGCTTCTGCTTGAGCATGGTGCTGATCCACGGGCCGCAATGAATGATGGCAGGACAGCTCTGATGCTTGCTGCTGCATTTGGACACGAGCCAGTGCTGAAGATGCTGCTTGAGCATGGTGCTGATCCAGGAG